CTGTGAGTGACTGGGGTGAAGTTAAGTAAGTACTCTTACTCCAGAGTGTGCTGGATTCACTCTTGACGCTCATGATAGGAGGGGAGTCAATGCTTGTAAGAACTACTTTTTCTAAAAAGGAGAGATATGGCAATATACTACTGGAATGCTTAAAAGTAGTAAGCATTATAGAAAAAGTATCCATTAATTTAAGAAGATGATCTATTGGTTTTGAGCCCTAGTTTTGGAGTATAAGTGTGTCTGCATTAATACATATCTTGTTATCTATCTATCTATCTATTTATCTATCTATGTAATTTTATAGTAGGGATCCATCATCTTTAATGTTTTTCATTTTCCTATGGGATACCATTGTTCATGAGAGTTTTTATAAGATACTTAGTATGGATCAGGAAAGAAAAAAAATCTTACATATGTTTCCATAGTTAAGACAATGGGAAATTAAATTATTAAAACAATTCAAAATGAAGGTGGGTGGGGTGGCCACCCCTGTAATCCTAGCACTCAGGAGGCTGAGGCAGGAGGATCACCATGAGTTCAAGGCCTGCCTCGACTGCATAGTGAGTTCAGGCCCAGCCTGAGCTATATAGCAAGAGCTGTCTCAAAAAAACAAAAACAAAAACAAAAACAAAATGAAACCTACCCAAACTTTTATGTTAAAGTTTCTTTATATTGTTTAGTTTTAAAAAGACCTCAGTCTTCTTTCCTAAGAATCAAATGTATTAGGGTGACTTTTTATTTATGTCAAATAGAAATATTTTTACTATATCTATAATCCGTATATTAAGCTAGGTTATCTTCCAAAGTGTAGGTCCAAAACCTTAATTGAAATTTTAGTATTATATAGTCTGTCCAAGTTACATATAAGGTATTTTAAAATTAGTCTCCTTCTCTGGTAGTGACAAAGTGACAGTTCAACAGGAAATCTAGAATGGACGACCTCAGTGGAGCACCTATTATTCTGAACATCGCACATGAATTTTCATACATCTTGTAATAAGAACATATACACTTATCAGGAGAGTTCGGTGCCTGTATCAATCACTTACAGATTATAAAAATATGGTCTTTCAGGGATCATCTTGCCCTATAAATCTCCTATAAGAGCAAGGCAGGAAAGAAAAGCTTTAAAAACCAAAATGAGCTAAGTATGGTGGCTCAATCCTGTAATCCCAGCACTCTGGGAAACCGAGGTAGGAGGATTACAAGTTAGAGCCCAGTGTGCAAATGTGCAACTTAAGGAAACCTGTCTCAAAAAAAAAAAAAGTGCTGGGGATGTAGCTCAGTGCAAAAGCCCTAATTTTAATCTCCAAAACAACCAAAACAAAAACTCAAACTGAGAATGACAATACCTCAATAATGACCCCCTCCTAAGAGAATTTGGTATAGTGAGCCAGCTCTACTGCAACATATATCAGAAGATAAATCAAGGCCTTTGAAAATAAGTTGTAAACACTTTGACTTACCTTTACTTCTCTCCAGGAAAGCCTTAAATTAAATTAACCAAGTAGGGTTTGACAACTTGCTTGAAATCAAGCTGAAACTGAAACCTTAAATAAGTGGACCTTTTTTTTGTTTCTTTTTAAGTACCAGGCCAAAAAGCCAACATTTCCACTAAAGTTAGAGATGGGTACTGTGGCAGTTAGCTTCTAAGGTGTTCCTCAATGATTCTTACCTTCTGACACTCTTCCCTTTATATACTACCTTCCCATATTGTGAATAGGGTTTGTCTGTATAACCAGTAAGATATTACAAAAATGAAAGTGTAATTTTTGAGGTTGCATTTTTATAGGTATTGCCTTGATCTTTTGGATCACTTATTCTGGGGAGAAGACAGCTGTAGAATCATCAGGCACTCAAACAACCCTATGAAGAAGTCCTCGTGGTAAGAGCAGAGGCCTCTGGCCAACAGCCATATTAATTGCCTGGCTCCAGTCAAAACTTCAGATGTCTGCAGCCTCAGCCAAGATCTTGACTACAGCCTCATGACAGACCCTAAGCCAGAACTACCTAGCTAAACCACTCTCAAATTTCTGACCCATTGAAAATGTGTGAAATAACAAAGATTTATTGTTGTTTTGAGCCATAAATATCAAAAAATAATAAATGACAGACCTAGAATTTGAACTCAGATCTAATTCTAAAGGTTGAGCTCCCCCAAAATTGAAAGTTTCCCCCATGAAATCCTTAGTGGTTTTCTGTAGTTTGGTTATTAAAGCAATTCCTTCTTTAAAATGAATTCAATTGCATCCTACACAAAGAAAAGAGCTTCAGTTCTTTAAATCGGTCAGTGGCACCCTGTATTTACTAATATTTACCAAGGTAGTTGGTCTTCAGCACAATCAGTTACAGGTCAGCTAATAGCCTTGTCTGTTTCCCAAGTATTCCTAAAAGTATTAATCATGTTTCAGAGGGATTTTTCTGTTATGATCTTTCATAAAATCTATCTTGTGAATATTAATGTGCTTCATTCCACCTAATCTGCCCTTTCTCGTGTTCCTCCTTTGAAATCATTTTAGCATATAATCTAAATTTCTTAACAGAAAAAATGAGAAGTTTCTGAATTACTCTTCCTACAACTACAAATGATTTGAAGATCCACTTTGAAGTTCTACCTAAAATTATATCTAAATTGCATATAAATCATAATTCTTTTCCTCTTCAATTGTCATTTAACCCTAGACAAATAATATTTTACTTTAAAAGAGCTAAACATTTCAAAGTAAAAACTATTTGCATTCCTTCATCTAGATGATGAGTCAACATATGTTATTAAAGAAAGTATCAATTTCACTATTAACCTGAATCTTATTACAGTAGAAGTGGAACTTATTTTTGTCCTATAAAAGGCTCATATACTTTGAGCCTCTTTGAAAAATGTTGTATTTATTTCACTTAAAGCATCTCTAATTACGAAGATCTGAGTCTTTCAAATAATAAATTGGAAGATAATTTTGTTTAATGAAAACATAATCATAAGAAGTACTTACATAGTAGCATCTCTAGAGCATACTGTATTTACACATGTTTGTTTAAATACAGACTCAATAAAATATAACTCACAAGCATGTATTAGTTTACTATATTACATCACAAAAACATGATTGCCTACTTTAAGCTTTTACAAGGAATTCCAATTTGTCCCACTATTTGAAATATATTTCCCTGATAATTTGCTGCTTTTGTTCTGGCCATTCCAGCCATGAAATCTCCAAAAGTTTCAGATCCAACTTATTTTTAGACATGGCTTCATATTTACCTGAACGTTAAATTGCATTTACTTTGTTTATAAACAACTGTATGTCATGTTCTTTCTCTCTCTCTCTCTCTCTCTCTCTCACACACACACACACACAAGTTCCATCAAAAAAGAATGCAAGACTGTAAATTAGAGAGATGAGACTGTGTATTGTGGTAAAATATACATTCACTAATGACATTCATTGTAGTATATTTATAGTTTTATATAGTCATCACCAGTATCTAATTCCAAAACAATTTCTCCAGCCCCAAAGGAAACCTCAGACCTATTAAGCAGTTAATCCCTCTTTTCCCCATCTTTGTAGCTCCTGGAAACCTCCAATTTACTTTCTATCTCTATGAAGTTTTTTATTATGGACCTTTCATGTAAGCAAATAGAATCATAAAAATATGCCTTTTAGTGCTTGGTTTCTTTCGCTTAGTATAACGTTTTACAGGTTCATCAGTACAACAGTACTGTATGACTTTTTATGGCTGAATGATATGCCATTGTATGGATACAACACCTTTTTTTTAGTCATTCACTAGTTAATGCATATTTAGATCGCTTATACCTTTTTATTTTAAAGAGAACAAAAAATAACAAAATAACAACAACATAGACAAAAATAAAACAAAGCAAAAACAATAAAAATGATACAGGGTTTCAAAACAAACTGATAGGAATTAATAGTGGTTGTTATATTACATATTGTTACAAAGTAACTCAGATTACCAGATGTAAGAATGCAAGATTGATCAAACCATTAAAGAGAATAAAAACTAATTTAAAAACCCTTAGCAACGATACAGAGCTTCACTAAACAAGATGATAGGAATTCACCAGTGGTTGTTATATTGCATGTTGTTGTCTTCAAATTAGTTGTTCAGATTACTAGATACAAGCATGCAAAATTGTTCAAAGAATTTAAGCGTTAACTGTTCCTTTCAAAAAAAAAACAGTAGACATCAACAGTACAATTATCCCAACTACCCATATATATATATCTATATATCTATATATATGTATATATTCCCTTTCTTCTTTCTTTTTCTCCATTCCCTTTTGACTATTTCGGTTAGTGCTGTTATGAACAAAGACACTATATACACGTTTTGGTTTGAACACCTGTTTTCAGTGCTCTTGAGTATATACATAACAGGGGAATTGCTGAGCTTGGGGTAACTGAGATGCGCTATTTGTATGTGAATCCTTACTCAATCAGTTATCAGTCCTTTCAGGGAGATGGGGTTCATGTTGTTATTTCTCTTTTGTTATCTTAGCAACATTTTCTGGATTCCTACACTTCCCTAGGAAATGTGTATGGTATTTTTTAACCAGAGACTACAAGATGGCATCACCAAACCATATTTAACATGACAAATAACCATTTTCTTATAAATGACCCACTGGTAGAAAGGTGGTCTAAGGTGTCCACCAACTCTTAACAGTGAACTTTAGACAATGAAGATGGTAGGCACGTAACCACAATGGTTTTTATATAGTTTTGGAATCAGATAGTCTTTTGTTAAATTACAGATAGTTGCCCTTGGATAGTTGCACTAACTAAACTGCTCTGCTTCTTCACCTATAAAATGGGCATATATCATGATTAATATAAGGAAAGAGTATTACCTGGCACATAGCTGATGTTTAATAAATATTACTTCTCCTTTCCTCATATGTTTTTACACATTCCAAACTAACTGTTCCCTAGACTCAGAAAATGAAAGTATCTTTTCTTCTCATTTTCTCTCAGGTTAAAATTCAACTGCCCAATACAAGCCCTTCTGAAATTCAAATTGATATCCAGGAAGTGGTCCTTGATCTTCGTACTCCTAATAAGTGAGTAAAATTTAAAATTGGAATAATACAAAACAATGTCTTTAGTAAATACTCTTTTTAAAGGTGTATACATTTACTTTGTATTCTCCCTGAAGTTTTAAGAAAAGTGAACTTTCAATTACTCCTTCAAATGTTTGATCTTTATAATACAAGTACAGATGTATTTGGAAACACCTAGGCTTTTTTTAACTTTGTATCTATACATTTAGAGTGGACTGATGCCATCAAAACATAATCCTTGACATTCAGATACAGTTTATCTGAATAAATAGCTACAGGTGAAATCCCTGTATTTAGCGTATTTATTCTGTCAGAATAAATAGCTACAGGTGAAAACCCCTGAAGTTGTAAGTCTTAAGTGTGATTTTTTTTTTGTGTAGTGAAGGCATAAGGTAAGTAATATCTTTAAAAGTTTTGGATGTTGTGGGGCTACTAGATAAAATGTTATTATGTTCATCTAAAAGTTCAACAAAAAGAAGTTCAACAAAAAACTTATCAATTACTTAAAACAAAATTCTAATAGTTAATCTACCACTAGATCCTCAGTTTGTGTGGATACATTTAAAAGTAGTACAGATGGTGGAATAATTCAGTTAAATATTTTTATATTCTCAAACACAGTCTTTTTATTATATAGCTTAAAATCATATTCCCCAAACACACATAGAGTAAAATTCTGATATAAAATGTTTCTATTGAAACATGGATAAATCAGTCCTGTCTCCCAAAACCTGACTCTTTAAAAAGAGATTTGATGGAAACTGGTGTATTTTAAATAAAATATCTAAATATCTCGTTGCTGTATTCACTTTTCATCTGGATGTATAACAGTGAGCACACATTGGTTGATTGCAGTTTTCCTTTCTCTGTAACTTATGGACATTTCAAACTGGACTTGGGAAGCAGGCAGTTGATAGGAGTTTCTCTTTCTGCCATTATCAGTACTTATAATTTCCTTTGTTGAGCTTAGGGCTTTGAGAAAATAAGAAAAATATTCCTCTTAGAAAAGGCTGTGTAAACAATGCAATGTACATACATAGCTTAATTTTGATTTCTATAGTAGAAGTATTTAATGCAATTATTATCTACAGATAAATACATACCAATTTTTTTACTATTTATATCAGTTCAAAAATATATTCTTGCGCAAAAGTCTTATATTATAAAAATTTCATTTACTGTTTTTACTAGTAACTTCAACTGTTTTTCTCTTTTCATTGTATTTTATACATGTATTTACTCTTGCACACAATCTTTGCAAGGAAAATCGGTTAAGCAATCAGTCTTCTATGATATTTACACAAGTATTAATTCCACACACATACTTGTACATCATGGAGTTAATTTCCATTACCCTAGCAGTTTTCACTGTCTCCATCAATCTTTAGGCACCTGCTTTGGCTATGCTGTCATTCTAGATATCTATCAGAATCCACTAAATGAGGTACTTTTCCACATACTTCCACCAAGGTACTTTTCCACATACAGTATGGGCTACACTAGTCATTTGTATGCTACACTTATATATTAAATGATATAAATTATATACACAAGTGAAAAATATATGTACTGTATTTACATTTTAAATGTTCAGTGCAGAGAGGTACTACCTCTTAAGAAAATTACCATGGAAGACAAAAGATAGAATTTATCATTTTTTCCAAATATTTCAGTATCCTATAGAGTTGTTCCAACATCTGAAATCATATTATCAGAAATGGGTTGTTTTTCAATTTATATATAGTGACACCTAACTTTTTTCATTCCTAACTTTGACATCCTATATCAATATGTCTATCTACTCCAAGAAAAATTTAAGAGTGGACATTCTGTTCATGTATCTATAAGGTACAAGTGTATTTATTTTAACTGAATTGACTAGTGATTTCAAACAGTAGTCAGCTGAATTAGAATTAGCCATAAACACCAGATATTTAGCATTATGCAACCAAAAGAAATAGTTTGTTGGATTCTTAATTTATTCTCAATTGTTGTTGGCATGTAAATTTTCAACATGGAGTAGGTAAAACAGAGAAAAAGATGGAATAATTTCCCAGAATCTACTTTCATATTAATACAAGATTTCATTATTTTTCTAAGTGAATTCATAGAATATCATAAATGAATACCTTAATGTGATAATAAAACATTTTAAAGACAAATATAAATTAATTTTTAGTTGAATACTGCTATAGATTAATCATACCTTTGCTGTGCTCCTTTAATTCAGATTGAGAATTGACTGAGTTTCAGAGACCATAATACCTAAAAAATAAGTTCTGTAGTAGCTAAATTGAAGCAAATACTTTTTTTGCAAATACTTATAACCACTACAGGAAACTTTAAAAAGATCATGTCTGTTTTTAACCTAGACACTCAAACCAAGTAATTTTCACTAATTGCATAAATAAAAATTCTGTTATGTGTTTATGAACAGAACAAGTTTGTACTTTATTTAAATAACTTGTAAGCAACATAAATTTAAATTCTCCAATATAAACGTAAGCATGGAGGTATCTAAAATTGAGTTCAATGAACTCAATGAACTTGAGTTAATTATATGGATAAATTTTTGTTTTCATATTATTTGTTCATATATTACTGCTTTAGTTACTTTTCTTGTTTTGGGGACAAACTACCAAACACCTAAAGTGAAAGGGCAAAAAGATTTATTTTGGCTCACAGTTTGTAGAGGTTTCACTCCATAGTCGGCTGGCTCTAAGCAAGGTGACATGGCAGAGGAGCATCACACCGGAGAAATAATCCATGGTATGACAGAGTAGCCAGATGGCAGTGAGCAGCAGCAGCAGTAGCAACCCTGCCTTTTTCTGTCCCTTTGTATTCCATCCAGGCTACAAGCTTATTGACTGGTACCACCCATATCCAAGGCAGGGCTTCCATTATGCACCCCCTTAATCCCAGTATCACACCTTTAATCCACATTCACACACCCTAATCCAGCCACCTTCGAAATTCTCCACCTATGACCATGAGGCTTTGGAGGGATACACCTAGATACAAGCCATAACAATTATTTTTCTGCATTTAAATAGTTTCTAGTGAAAATTAATACTGGATAAATATTTGTTTAGTACCTAAATTGGAACTTCTCTTTTTTTTTTTTTTTTTTTTTTTGGTAATGGGAATCGAACTCATGACCTAGCACTTGCCAGGCAGGTGCTGTGCCGATGAGCTACATCTCCTGCCCTGGAACTTCTTTAGAAACCATTATTTTATCAATGTAAAGGCACAGAGATTGTGTTTGAATGTTTATCCATATTTTATAATATTCATCTCTGATAATTATTCCAATATTTTGTAATGACTGAATATTTGCTTTTTATTCACTTATTTATGCACTTGACAGACATGTATAACCTGATAAACACTAGGGGAACACCAAAATAAGAGGCAGTTCTATCCTTTAATGAATTGTACCTGGATAAGTATTTATAGAATTTTCATTTTGTTTAAATATCAATCTTTGTACAGACATCAGACAGGAAACCAGACTAGATAAAAATACTACCCTTCTCCTAAGAATCTAAATAAATTGCATGATTCTGTCTTTCAAATTTTACTATATGAAGCCATACTTCTGAGGCAGGACTAGGCAGAAGTACAAGGATAGATGGACTATTTTAATAACCGCTAACTGTCTCTTTTCAGTTTATTTTTCTGTGGACAGAGAAGTACACATTATCATTGCAACCTTTTTCACTTGTCTTTTAGTGCAAAGCCACCGCTTTAAACTTGGCTTTCTTTTTCAGCAAATACATTATCATTTATAGAATAAAGGATGAGACGAATCCAACTCTAGTACATCATGAGGTTGTAAATAGCTTTAATGGATGGGATCTAATTGTTTTTTGTGCTTACTTTTTTGAGATGCCAAATATCATAAGCTACATTGAAATACTCTGCCATTTATTGCTTCAGGTAGAGGTGTGTTTCTCATGCCCCATCTGTAGTGGAATAGGAGACAAAGAAAATTTCTCCTTTAGAAATGTATAATAAATATTTTTAATAAGCCCAGTCCTCTGAATTTATGTCATTTCAAATGAGTAGAGGAAATTGATTTTCAAGGGTTTGGTTTTCAAACACTAGTTGCCAATTCAAGTATCCAAGAAGAACCCCTAAAAATATCAGATTTATTTACTGATTTGGGCCTAAAAGAATTTTTCTGTCCACATTTTGTAGAAACATTCAGGCCTTCTCCACTGAGAATTTGAGGTAACAAGAGGTTCAAGCATTTAATTTTCTTTAGATTCTAGCATGTGCTGACTGCATGCATAATTCAGATTCATACTACTAAGACAGAATTGTGAATATCTTTTTCCAGCAATGCATCTAAATCATACAACTATCCAGCAACTCAGTCATAACCTGCAATATAAACCCAGCAATTTTTCACAGGGAATTTTTGTCAATGTGTAATAGAAACAATCAGAAGCAAATAGAGTAAAGCATTTTCATTGACCTGGTATTGAAATCATTCCAGGCCTGATTTTCAGAAAATATAAAGTAGTAAAGACTCAGCCTAAAGCTCTATTAGAAGAACTATTCCAGTTTTCAGATTTTTCCCAGTCAACCTCATTCCCTCTACACATAAATATGACTGGCAACATAGCTGTCCTCCAAAGTTGCATGGTTCTATTTTGGTGTCTATAACCATAGTTGATTTTAAAGGTGAGACACTTAAAACAACTGCTTGAACTTTTCTTGTCTTTTTGAGACAGCATTTCACTATGCAGTTTAGGCTGGCCTTGAACTCACCACATAGTCCAGGCTGCCCTCGAACTTGTAGAAATCTTCCTGTCTCACCCTCCTGAGTGCTGGGATTATAGTCATGCACCACCACACCCGGCTATCTGCTTGCATTGTTAAGTCCCAAAGCTGGTAGACTAGTTAATTATTGAAGTATATTTTTTATCTGGCATTTATGTTGTCTAAATATTGGTGTATTGTCTTGAGGGTGGGATTCAAACATTGTAATGGTATACATTACTTTCTATTGTGTTATTCAAAGTGGTATATCACTTCAGGAATCTAATTCTAGGTTTTTATTTTATTTTAGGAAGCTGTTGGTAAACCTTCCCCAACCTGTGGAATGCAGCAGTGCTAAAGCTCTCTATATCCCAGAGAATGAGACTCTAGAGGTCACCATGACTATGAAAAGAGAGTTTGATTCTATTAATTTTTTCTGAGATTGTATGAGTAAAGAGAAAAGTTGGTAAAAAGATACTGATAACAATTGAAAAACTTTGAAAGAATACTACTGTCTTCTATATTCTCTTAATTATTATTATGCCATTTTAGAAAGGGAAGGTATTCAATTCTAGTGATATTTAATCCCCAGCACCAAAAAACCAAAAATGTCTTTACATTAATAATCATCAGCAATGCCTTTTGGGGTACTATGTTTATATTTAGTCAATTCAAATCCTTGACATTTAAAAGGACTATAAAAACAGCATGGCATATTTACAAATCCTATGCGCTCTCACTTTCATTTTTCTTCTTCATTGGACATAACTATTTTTATGAATTGTTCCAGTATCACCTGACTCTTCTGCACTATTGTATAAAATTATTTCACAATCATTTGTTTATATATTATAATTTAACGCTAGTGTAACTTGACCTCTCACATCACTATAGAAGTGTGGAATTAACTAGGAGTAAATCTTGAAGAGATGAACAACTAACATATGTTCCTGACATCAATGTGAATTACTAAGGGCATATCAAACATCTAGTTTGTGACATGATAAAGTCGAAAAATTAGACTGAGATTTTGGGTTAAGTGATTGTTTTAAAACATTAAACTAAGAGAATTTCATAAAATATTAAACATTTGCATTGCCACCATGACCTTCTTGGGCACTGGGTAATGGAAAGGAAGCTTTGTCTATGAATTTCAGTCATTGAGGTTACAGAATCAAAAATGTGTCCTTCTTTGTTTTCTTAGTATCTTTTATAAAGGCTGCATTTTAAGAATTTAAATCAGACCCACATGTGTAAATACCACATTGTCTCACTAGTTTAAGAACCTGAAAGAGTAAATAAAATCTAAAAGGTACAATAGCTATTATGAAAGGGAAAGAAACTGCTCAATAAGAAAACAATTGGGTTGAGGGAAAAGAGAAAAGAAGGAAAGAAGGGAAAATATGTATATATGTATACACAAGATAGCTTAGATAATTGTACCACTACTTTCTATTGCTTTATGGAAAGGTACAGTTAATATTTAATTGTTTGATCAATCTTACATGCCTATATTTGTTTAACTGAGTAACCAATTTGAAGATAACAATATGCAGTACAACAACCACTGTTCATTTCCTACCATCTTGTCTGAAGTCCTGTATTGCTTCCATTGTTTTGGTGTTGTTTTGTTTATGTCTGTTTGTTTGTTAATATGTTTTCGTTCTTTTATCTTTAAAATAAAAAAAAGAATTTAAGATTACAATCTAAAATGTAAATTCTGGGGTAAGTCTAAGTAGTAATAAACATTTTTCTTCTCTAGAGAACAACTGCTAGTCAGTGGAAAATGTATCTCTTTCTATGCATTGGGCCTAATTACAAAGTCTATTATTATTCAAGCTGACCAAATGTGTACAAGTTGTGTCTGGAAGAGAAGAAAGCATACTCAGGAAAAAATGAATTGGGCTTTAGTTATGTCATGCTATATCAATTATAAAATGAAACAGTATCAAAAACAATGAAATGTAATTCAATAATTTATACCCATGGAAAAACTGTCCTACTTTACTGTGTCTGGCCTTAGAAGTAAAAACTACAGTGGTTATACTGTTATCTTGTTTTTAAGCTAATTCACTGGGCTTTATTCCTTTAAAGAGGAATAGCCCAGAAAATAAAATTTAGAAAAGACAATAGAAAAGGAAATTTATCTTGTCAGCACTTTCCAATGAGTCTTAGCCATTACCAGGAAGCTATAAGTCAAAACCACAACTGTGGCATAACATAGACTACAAAAACGTCTTCATAAATTCCCTTAATGAAGTTTTCATTCGCATAATCTGCAATAGGTGCTGTGGGGATTCATTCATTCATTCATTCATTCATTCATTCATTCATTCACTTACTCATTCATGCATTCCTTCAACAAATATCCACTGAGCACAAATAACCACCTGCTTGGCACTATGATGGGTGCTGAGGATATAAAATGGAGAAGGAAGTGGAGGGGTGGGGGAAGAGGATGAGGAGGAGAAGGAGAAGAGAAGGAGAAGAGAAGGAGAAGAAAGAAGGCAGAGAAGGAGGAGGAGGAGGAAATTTTAACTTGGCTTCTGCCAAAAGTTTTAGGAAAATGAACACTAGGAATGTCAGCAGATAAATTTATGTATCGCCTTTATTTATTTCTCTTGCTTGATTGCTCAGGCTGATGTTTTGAATATTATATTGAACAGTAGTGGTGATAGCAGAAATCTTTGTCTTGTTACTTATTTTAGAGGGAAAGTTTTAGCTTTTCCCTGTTTGATTTTGTTGGTAACTAGTTATAAATGCTTTGATTATCTTCTAAATTTAATAACAAAATTCAATAGCGTAGCTGGGTACAAAGTCAGCACTCAAAAATCAATACTTTTCCTGTACACAAATAGCAAACTCACTGAGAAAGAAGTCAGGGAAACTACACCTTTCACAATAGCATCCAAAGAAATGAAATACCTAGGAATCAATCTATCGGAGGAAGTAAAATACCTCCACATTGAAAATGACAGTACTCTGAAAAAGGAGATAGAAGAGGACATTAGAAAATGGAGAGATAGCCCTTGCTATTTGATAGGAAGAACCAATGTAGTGAAAATGGCCACACTTCCAAAATTATTATATGGATTAAATGCAATCCTGATCAAAATTCCAACAGCATATCTCACAGAATGAGACAAAAGGATTCTAAAATTCACTTGAAACCAGAAGAGACCTAGAATAGCAAAGGCAATTCTGGGCAACAAAGACAAGCCAGGGGGCATCACTCTACCTGACTTGAAATTATACTACAAAGATACTGTGATAAAAAAAAAAAAAAGCATGATACCAGCAAGAAAACCAGACCTGACAATCAATGGAACAGATTAGAAGATGCAGAAACAATTCTAAGCACACTCAGCTACCGTACCTTTAACAAAATGGTCATGCTCCTTCACTGAAGCAAAGATAGCCTCTTTAATAAATGGTGGTGAGAAAACTGGTTTTCCACTTGCTGAAGATTAAAATTAGACTCGTATCTTTCAACATGCACTAAACTAAAATCAAATTGAATCAAATATCTAAATATTAAGACAGAAACACTAAACTTGCTGGAAGATAGAATAAGTAGAACTCCTAAAGACACTGATATAGGAAAAGACTTTATGAACAAAACTCCAAATGTACAGGAAATAATACAAAGAATCAACAACTGGCATCTCATCTTATTAAAAAAGCTTTTGCACAACAAAAAGAAACCTCAGAGTGAGAAAAAAAATTTTGCCAGATGTTCCTCACACAAAAGACTAATATCTAGAATATATAAAGAACCCAAAAAATTAGACCACCCAAATTTAAAGACTGAATAAAAAAATATGCAAGTGAGAATAGGCACTTCTCAGATGAAGAAGCAGAAATGATAATAAAATATCAAATAAATGTTCATTATCACTAGTCACTCAAGAGATGCAAATTAAAGCAACACTGAGATTCCATTTCCCTCCAGAAAGAATGGCTGTTGTTAAGAAATCAACCAATAATAAATGCTGGAGGTGTTGTGGAGAAAAAAGAACTTTTCTCCAGTGTTGGTGAGAGTCTAGACTGGCACAATCACTGTATAAATCACTGTGGAGATTTCTCACAAAACTACAACTAGAGGTTCCACTTGAACCAGTTATTCCCCTTCTTGGTATCTTCCCAAAAGATTTAAAAGCATCATACCACAGCAATATATGCACACCCACATTTATGTCAGCACAGTCTCTCATAGCTAAATCTTGGAAACAGCCAAAATGCCCATCAGCCAATGAATAGATAAAGAAAATGTTGGGTATTTTATACAGTGGAGTACCACTCTTACACAAAAAAGGATAAATTTGAGACATTTCTAGCTAAATGGATGCACCTTAAGACCATATTCTTGAGTGAAATAAATCAGATACAGATGTCTAAATACTGCATTGTTTCTCTAATATGAGAAGCTGAAAGTGTAAATAAGGACCAAAATGTATAATAGATATTGGTAAATAGGAAGAAAATGTTTAAATTGGAAGAGGAACAAGGAAGGAGAGGAGGGAGGAAGAATGGGAGAAGGAAAAAAAAAATACAAAGAAGAAACTGGAAGCAAAGCTTTTGTAAATAAGAAGGGGAAGACAGGTCGAAGGGAGGGGAGAGAAATGGGAAAAAAAGAAGAAGTAGGATATATCATGTACAGGTAAAAATTTCCTATGATTAATGTTATCATTATGTATATCTAAAATGTACCAATAAAATTTTTAAAAATAAAAAAAGAAAGAAGTTAAAAAAGAACAAGGGAAAACCCCCTCAAAAATTAGTTGTTGTGGTTTATGTCTAGATGTCCCCCCAAAGCCTTGTGCAGTCAAGGGGGTGGACTTCTAGAGTTTGTGATTGATTCATAGTCCAATACTGGGATTATGGGTGTGAGTGCCACATCTGCCTTGGGGCAGATAGCCCGCATACAATATAAGGGAGATGAAGAGGATTGGACTCTCTCTGCTCCTCCCTTTTTGCTCTTGCTGCTTTTTCTGTTTTCTGCTGCCATGAACTGCTGCCATCTGCCATGTGCCACTCTGCCTTGGAGCCAGCCAAGTATGGACTGAAACGTCCACAAACTGTGAGCTAATTCCTTAATTCTGGATGTCAGGTATTCTGTCTTAGCAATGAGAGAAAAGTAAATAAGACACTAGCGAAGAAGGAAGAGGAAAGAGAAGAAAAAAGAGTCTAAAAACATAAAATTAATTTCTCTGTATTTTTTTAAATTTATTTTAAAAATAAAAGAAGGAAAACATATTAACAAGCAGACATCCATTTACCAAATATCATAAGAGCAATAAAAGCAATACTGAATTACAGACAAAGTGGTAGGAAATTAACAATGATTGTTGTATTGCATATTGATATCTTCAAAGTTGTTTCTCAGGAAAACAAACATAGACATGCAAGACTGATCAAATAATTAATCATTAACTGTTCCTTTCAGTAAAGCGATAGAAGTCAATAGTACACCTATGTTAGCTACCCTGTATATACATATATACATAATGTTCCCTTCTTTCTTTTCTCTTTTCCCTTATCCCAGTTGCTCTTTACTTTTGAGCATTTTCCTTTCATTTCACAATGTCTATCATACTTCCTTCTCTGTATTTTTGGATGAATGGTTTTCTTCCAGGATCTGCATTTTTATAAGCCAATAATGTATGGTTTTCTCTGCTTAGCCTTATGAGCTGTGCATTTGTGAGGTGCACCCTTTATTCCAGAGGCCCCTATGTTTATTCCAGATTGTGGCAATGTCCATGGCAAGATGTTTCCTTGCTCACATTTGCTTTTTGTTTTTTTTTTTTTTGGTTTTTCTCCGGTACCGGGAACTGAACTCACGACCTTGCACTTGCCAGGCAGGCGCTTTTGCTGCTGAGCTAAATCCCCAGCCCCTCTCACATTTGTTGATAGGGAAAACAATTATGCCACATCCAGCAAACTCCACATCTCAAAAACTCCCAGGGGCAAGACCATGAAGAAATGAAGGCAAGAGTGAAAATGCAGAAAGCTGAGGTCAGGTGGAGCCCTCTCTCTAGGTGGAGAAAAGAATTGCCCAGCAAGTGCAGCATGTTTATTTATACACTCAGCACGTTGATGTCAGGCAAAACCCCTCTGCCTAATAATTTCTTAACCTAGCTTACCCCAGGTACTTCGTGTTCTCAGACCCGGATCAGCTAGTTCACCCGGCTCGCCTTGGGTGTTCCATGTTCTCAGGGCTGGCCTTGCTCTAGGCCTGCACTTGTGATCAATCTTTAGCT